GGAACCATCCAAATCCATGTGATATACGCATCAGTTAATCGATAGATACAATTTTTAATTGTTTATAACAAATTCATATTGTTATAATAATGTCTAGTCAATATCGACTTAATTTTCAAATGAAATTGTTTGGCTTAATAGCATTTTAAATAGCTAATCTTTTCATTATTTATTAGTTATTTTGTTACAAAAAAAAATCGAATTCGTTCAAATTTCTTTCAGATGTTTTTTATAATAATATCTTTCGAATTAATTTTGGTTGAAGTTGATATCTTGATCCGTTCTTAAGATATCGAAAACGACAAAAATGCTGACGTCCGTACATACATACATACATACATACATACATACATACATCATTCTAAAAATATGTCAGTATGCTTGCAAATATCTTGAAACGTGGAGATTTAATGAATATTCAGTAGTAAATCTTACTAGAAACGAAGTACGAAATATTAGAAAAATTTTACTTCCTCCGTAGAGTAAAGAGTACTCCTCTATTTTTCTCCGTGTGGAATACCACATTAGGCCCACGTTTAAATAAAAAAATTTGTTTGATTATTTTTTTTTTCCTACTTTCATATTGTTGAAATACTACTAATTATTAAACGTATTTGAAGTTGCTACGATCGCTAACTTATAGGCATCGTAGACCAGGGCCTTAGCCTGTTCAGCTATTAACTCATTTACAACACTACTATTATATTAATATAAATAGACACAGGTGTATAATTTTTCAAAAGCTTCATATTAAATTTCAATAATAAGTAATGTTTGTAGTTTGAATATTTTCATAATTTTCAATTATTTATCTGTTCTGAAATTACAATGAATACAATAAACTATAGTATTATATATGATTAAAAGGAAAAATATATCTGAAGTCCATTTTAACACTTACATACTAACAAATAATTGATATTTTTAGCATATACGTATTCGTTTTTCATCATAAATATCAGGATTCGGATCATAAATTCGATGACAACCATCGATATTTCGTTTGTAAACAAATGAAATCATTATTAAAATAAAGACGTAATTCGTTGAAAAATGACCTCATATACCTATGCTACACAGATAGAATTTTTTTACTAAATGTAAGTGCAAAAATGACAAGTGCACATTTTGAATTTAGCAGTAAAAATATTTCTATTCGATAGTACATTATGAGTTATTGTAAGTAAACTCGATACTTAAAAGGTGTCTTAGTAAAAGAATTACTTAAGATAACTCAAAAATTACTTACGACAACCTTAAATTCATTGTTGAACAGAAATATTTTTACTTCTGAATTTTGAAACGTGATTTGTCACTTTTTGCACGTACATTTAGTGAAAAAGTTCTTTCTGTGTACGAATAAAACACTGAATAGGTTCCTTAATACTTATGCAAATTACTTATAACTATTTATGTAGGGAAGGTAAGAAAAACCCAGAACGTGCATTTTTAAACTTTTTTTTTGCATACTAGAAAATAACAAAAAAAGGTCTAAGCACACTTTGTCTGTGCTAACACGACGAACTTCCCATAAGTAATTGTTTATAACAAATTCATATTGTTATAAACATACATGTTTGATAAAAGTTATATTTAGTTGTGAACAATAATATGTAGTCAGTATCGACTCAATTTTCAAATGAAAATGTTATTGTTTGACTTAAAAGTATTTTAAATACTTTTCCCAATTTCAATAACTTCCTAATGGGAAGTTAAAAATATTTTGACTAATGATTTTTTTATGATTTTTCCCGTAAAATCAGACGGAACAAATAAATTCTGCAAAAACCCCCAAGTTCTCAATTGGAACTCTATTTATATCGATATTACTATTGATAATAAGTTATTACTATTAGTAGATAAAAATTTTTTCCAATTATAGATAAACTTAGGGTGAGTCATTATTTTAATATAAATCACTTAATTTGAACTTAAACAGAATTCTTAAAAAAACTTGATCAAATTTTGGTTTTTAAATGCCGTTTTTTACCTCAAATTGGGTAACTTCCACTAAATTTTCGCGCTGTTTCTCATTTGCGGACAGGGTCCATCCAGGTTGTGATCATTGTCTTAAATGTAATCGTCGCCTACTAAGTACAAAAATCTAAAAATAGGGAGAAGTAGGTAAATAAGTAATGCTTATTGGTTCGAAGATTACTTGCCAATTTTTACAATTTTGTAGAAACGTCTCACTTCCTGTGATACACCCCCCCCCCGCCCAAAGTGTTTAAGAGCAGAATCAATTTGCCAATTTCTACAATTTTGTAGAACCATCTTATTTTTCGGATGCAAATTTGCGTTATATTTATCTGTAGGGTGGGACATATTTTTTTGTAGGCGGGGCTAATTCCTTACTCTGTTTTGGTACCTGACTATTTTATAATTGACCCCGTCTGCAATTGAGATTACCATGGTCAAGACCCCGTCCGCAACTGAGACATTTTATTACACTATTTTTGGGCCTCGTCCGCAATTTAGGTGCAGTCAATTTTCGGTTTACTTTTAGATTTTTCTAATTGAAGCTTTTAGTTAATATTCAGATAAAAAATCTCTTGAAAATTATTTCCTCATATCGGGTTATGTCGGAACAGGTTTTAATATAATTGTATATGTATAGTTGGTATATATTTAGAGATATATCTATTAAATTTTACTGGGCGTACCTAAACACTTTGGTCACTATTACGATGTTTCTACGGTAAAGAAAATTCTTGTTATACTCATTCTAGTTTAAGTTTTATCTTAAGAGATTTCGGGTTTTACTTGGCACTTGGCTCGCATACAAAGAGGAATGAACGAGTAGTAGCGCCAGAGATATCATCGGCCTAGATCACTGGGTATGTACGGTTGGGAAAGCGGATAAAGAGGTAGATGCACCTACGTCCTCAATCGCGACGCCGCACGTTCTACGCTTTTACCATAGGTCTGCATCACACCGACAAACACATAAATTTCAACTTCATTCTCCAGACTTACTAACACAAAGAAAGAAAGATAGGCGCCACCCAGACTCACTGTATACCATTTTCTGTTTTTTTCAATCGTTAGTGATGAACAAATCTTGTTGAATGTACTTTACGACGAATCTTCTGATTCCTCCACTTCGTTTCGATTTTTTTTACCCTATCAAAACTGAGTGTTAGAAATTTTTTTATTGATGAATGTCAAGTAACTTTTCAGCCATTTATTTGAAATCTGTTTTAATTACACTTGTAAATTCTAATGAAGATACTTCTCTCTGAATTCTTTTATTTGTTTAATTCTCATTGAAAAATATATCGAATTATTTTATTTTTCTACTTATTTAAAATAATATACTTAATTAGTTTAATTGACTTCCATATAATAATTGCGTTATCACGTGATCATCATCAAATAAATTTTCTAGAACTGTGTAGATCTCGTATAAATTTTTTTCACCCCAAACTGCACTCTTAACAGAAAGTAAGAGCTCATGAAAGAGACAAGTTAAATAAACTTGATGAAATGGTTATCATCTTGCTCACTGAAGTGTTCATCTAACATTCTTTGCAGTAAATTTTTATCTTATGGAACAAACTCAAAATTTTATAAAATTTTATTAGCCGTCACATGGCTAATATTTTTTTCGTATGACCATCTAACATTCTTCAAACAATGAATCATCATTTTACGTAAACTAGGTTGAAAATTATTATTTTTTATAGAAATTTTTAACGTGAGTTGTCTGAATAAATTTGTTTCGTACTACTTGTTTCCGTTTAGTAGAAATGAAATCAAGAACAGTGTTGAAGCCATAGAAAGTTTGTCTAACTTATGTTAAGGTTTTAGTAAGCGAATTTCGAGGTAAATTTAAGGATTTTGAAGTTTGCTTTTATGTGGCTTTAACTACATATAGCCATTGTCCGATAACGGAAGCTAATATCGGTACAGCTCTTTTATATCATACTAAAACATATTGAGTACACAAAGTGTGCGTCGATGGTTGAATAATTGAAATTTTTTCAACAATATACATTTCAATTATTAGCTAATGTCATGTGTTCATGTAAATTAAAAAATAAGAAGATATATGATAAAGATAATATGCTTGTAAAAACTAATAATACTTTTTGCTTTCTTGAAGCATTCAATGTTAATGATGAAAAGAATTCATAAAGTTTGAATTTAAAACTTTTTACTGCGATAAAGTTTTTGATATTATTTTTGCCTCTAAACATTCTGAGAAATCTATATTTCATTGAAGATTAAATCGAAAATTTATACTTTCTGATACGTCAGCTAAACATATAAGACACCGTTTTTAGAAATTATTTACCAAGTTAATCAATGGTAGATTCAATAACAGAAAAACAGCTTATTCCAATTTCTAAACACAAACTTATCCATATCCCATTGCTGAAAGAATTGTTGAAACTTCTCGTTGTGACACTGTTATACAGAAACTTTGTATATGTTTTTTATTTAGAAGTCTATGAATTCTTGAAATATTTGTAACCTACATAATTTTTACAGATACACTGCACGTCTCCATTTATTTTATCTCTCCTTGCAGTGTCACCATGTTTTCTATCTCTTATTTAAACTTAAGTATCTCACAGCATATAACTTGCAAGATGCAGATACACCTGACGTGTACGTTATATAAGTTGTATCACGGACAAGTAGTTCCATGTACTTGCATAGTTGAAACCAGACTTCTTAAATTTTGTCGCGACCCTTCAGCAGACCATGGTAGAGAAGAGAAATATTCCAGAAGCTAGATAGACAAGCAGACTTGTATTTTTATCGCTCTGCTTGCTTTTCATCTCTGTGTGCACTTGACAGCGTTTGCTGGTTATAAAATCTTTGAATTCATACCCTAGTTATGCTTCAGTTATTTTATATCATAGCATGCTTGTGAATATATTTTTATTGCGATATTCTAAAGCATTGCAATAAAGTGATGATAAAAAAATTGCCTGTTAATTTAACGTCTCAATAATCTGTTTATATTTTTCTTTTTTATTGGCTGTTTCAAGTCATGGTACGACTACAAACTGCGATGGGAGCCGAAGGAATATGGGGGTGTACACATGTTACATGTACCATCCGATCACATTTGGCGACCTGACATAGTTCTCTACAACAAGTGAGTTACAACCTGAATTCTATTATTTTTCAGTTTTATATCATGCTCTATCATCGTTGGTTGCGTAAACGTATATAAGTTTATAAAATAACGTAGATGCAATGCATGTTGCCAAATCATCATTTTTATCTGTAAACTCGTTTCAATTCACTTGTATCGAATAATTGATTGAACTAAAATTTACAAATTTATGTACTTTGAAACGAGTTTGCTGATTTTTTATTTATTTATTTTTTGAATAAATCATCTGTCAATTGTGTTGTAACATATAACCAATACTTCGGAATGTTAAAGTCGTAATGCGAAGTGTCAAGAAACTTTTTTAATGTATATAAATGAAGAATGGCATATTTCGCTTCGAAAAGTTATAAAAAAATCTATACAAGAAGGACACGACAACCATTGTATTCATCTTTTACCCATCTTTTTAGCTAAAGATGGCATTTACGATTGAAATATTTTGTCTGGAAGTTTCCATTGTATTTGTGTGAGTTTCTTATTATTTTAATATAACAAATATCATTATAAATATAGAAATTAATCTACTTTTTTTTCTGTGAAGAAAAATTTTTTTTTATTCGTTATCAATCATAATGTTATTTAATTCTATAGTCGAAATAGATAATTACTATTCATGTCGCATGATATACGGGCGCTGCGGCGAGTATTTTATGCTGATTCCAATTTAAAAACAAGACATATAAATTACTTTAAATAATATATATGACTACGCCTCTTTCAAATAAATTTCTGGATTAATTTCTTTTGTCCAATGCTACTTTCAAATATTTTACTGAAATATTGAAAGAAAGGTCATAATACCTGTACACTGAAAGTTTATCAATTATTTTTATTACTCATCTAATGAGAATTTGAAATTATACCTGAAAGGAAAAATGTACTAATTAACATGTAACATGTCTGAGTGGCATTATTGTTTGTACTAAAAATTTCTCATACAAATATATTGCGACCTAATCAATTCTGACCTGCGGATAATTAATTTATTCTCACAATAAGGTTTTTGCAAACTTTTTTCATTATATATTGTAAAAGTACTTATTTTTTTGAGTTATAGAACACATTTACGGAAATTTTTTCAATTAAAACTTGTCTTTTCTGATGGCAAATGCATCTAAAATAATTCAATTTTACTCTGGTGTAGATGTTCTTATCTATTTTGTACTTCCATAAAGGTTAGCAACATTGTGAATAAAACTATAATAAACAAAAATGATGAGAGAAATATAAAATGGTGATATGTTTAGTGCTCGTTCACGCATAAATTTTGTGAATTCACAATATTTGTAAATTCGTTATCTCCCACCTTTTTTGTTCATGATATGTAGTTTCATTAATTCTCTCTTGTTAAATCGTTTCTCTGAAATAAAAAAGGTTAAATTTCCAATTAGACTTCAAGAGAGATCCAGATTTAACAAATTTGTTTTAGCAGATATCACAGCCATCTTTTACACAATTTATCGTCTTTCCGAACTACTCAACAGCGTCTCTTCCGGGTGGACATTGTGCTATTTCACCGTCGAGACAAGAGAATAATGTTACTCGTCTCTTGTTCCTTGGTGGATCCAAGTTTTTTGTCTTGAGTTTCATTCATTGTATCTTCAATCCCCATACTTTTCTCACAAACCTGTCAAGTCATTTCTATTCTTCACTTAAGTCTTGACTCGATTTCTTCGTGGTCCCATCAGTCCCATGACTTGTTTCTGATCAACCGACCCTTTTCTAGCACGTACGATCTTTACTATTCCTTGTTGAATAACAATACCGAGAAGATTTATTACTTTCCATCACTATTGATCAATAGACGTAAAAAGGAAAACAAAGAGACTCTTTTTAGTATTGTATTCAACCCCTATCATTATTTCACCGTAGTTTTTTATTTAAAAAGAAATGAAATACGGGAAAAAAAAATTTGCTCAAGATAATTTGGTATACTTTTCTAGTTTTTTAAAATAATTAAATGATTATGATACTTTGAAAATGCTGATAATTGGATTTACTGTTACGGATTACTTTTTATTTTGTTCGTACTACTGAGAAAAACCGATTCTTTGGATTCAATATTAAGATTGGAAAATTCTGTAAGACATAAAAAACAGAAACTTAAGATTCTTTATAGGGCTGAATTAGTAAATAACCGCTGCGAATAAATTTCATGTGTAAGTCACTTAAATTTACACATGTTTGAGAAAGCTTTTACATGGAAGTGTGAGAGTCATGAGATAACTTGAATATGAGCATCTCAACTCCTAGTCCCAAGCTAGTGAAATAAAGTGTATATCACTTAGCTATAGTTTATTTACTAATTTTTTATTTAATTTTCGTGTAGAATTCGGTAATATTTGTATTCGTGATATTGTTTAATATTTGCTGGGGACTGGAAAATATTTACGTCAGTGAATTGGATTGAATTCATAATTTCCGGTGTCATAATTTCGCTTGTAAATTAAGTTTTCTCTTCGAATAAGAACGAGCGAGTCAAGTAAAATTTATGAGACTTCTCGTCAGAGACAGCGTTTACCAACCGTGAACGGAAATTCATGGGCATGTGGTTTTGTAAGCGATGTATGTGCTACGCCTCGATGAATAACTAAGTTACTTTGTCATTTGATGACAGACGCTTGCCAGTTGAGCAATTTCTTTTGATTTTTGTTGTACGAAACTTTCAAACTTCAAAAAATTCACAATATTTGTCAAATGTTTAATTCTACTGACACTGCGAGAAGGATTAAAAGTCAAAAATAATGACACGAGAAACGATTAAAAGGAACCAGAAGTTTATTAAAAATCATAAAAAAGATTAATTAAAGAAAGTCATCTAATGTGTATTAGTCTCAATCGTAAACTAATAGAAACAAATCAGTGGAGCGTTGCTAACAACAAATTCGATCGTTTTTCTATCAAGGTGTAGATGGAGATACAATTATTTCACAATATTCTATTAAAATAAATAATTAAATTCCAATTTTGAATTATTAAATGATCTTTTCATATTTTTGATGGTCAGGGTTTTGATTAATTATACTTTTCAATATTTAAATATCTATCTTATTAATGAATTAATGTCATTTGATATTCTCTGAAATTTATTATCTTTTTAACGAGATATAATTGCGAGCAACTATTGCAAAATTTGATCAATAAATGTGGGGAAAATGGTTGAGATTGCTTTCAATACAAATCAATGTAAATGACTGTAGTATTTCCATTCCTTGAATAGTATCAACGATCTTGGAATTCTAGACTAGATTACCATATAGAACAGTAGCCTCAATTCGATCTCAGGTGCTTCAATCACAGAACACACTTCGCATGGACATGGACATTAATACAAAGGGGCAGAGAAGTAAAGGGATAACTCTCTCACTGTAGAATGGTTTGAAATCCCTCTGCAATACAGCCAAGCGTCGAACAGGTCATTCTCAGATTCCGTTCAACCAGAGAATTAACGCTACGTGTCTTTGTCAGGAGCATACCCCAAATGCTGAGTGGCTTTAAAGTCTAAACATAGCGTATGTGTACATAATTTCATATTAACCTTTGATAGCTTTTGTTTGTTATTCGACGCATCATATTCTATTCTGCTCTTTCTATTTACTTTTTTATCAGTTAAATGTATTTAAAGTTAAATACTTTTTCAGAATCGCATTGTCGTCGACGATAAAACCAACCATTACATTTCCAAAGTAATTGACTTTGACTGCTTCCCGCAAGAGTGTTAATTAGATGGTCACTTAACAAGTGATTTAATTTTAAACTATTAGTTTCCCTCAAACTTTTCACCAGCTATTTTTTATGAAATTTGAATTATAATTGTTTTTTTTTAACAAAAAATTTAGTAATTTCATAGTACTTCTTTCAGAAAGAATTTAAAATGACAAAAACTTTTTAATGGATCAGTGATTGGTTGCGTAAAATTCATATTTGGCTTCATATCAATACAAACTTAAAATTGCATTAGGAATTCAGTAAAAACTCATTACAGAAAAGTTACAGTTATTAAAAACTAACACAGTTAAAGCATAAAAAAATCGTAAAATGCGTAAAACATCGTTAATCAAATGTTTCACTTCAGTGCAGATTTTAAAAGTGTACTTATTCTTCTTTTCCAACAGACTATACTAATTTTGTAAAAAAAAAAATTAAAATACTTTTTTAAAACATAAAATTTAAGCTTTGCATATAAGCCTTTTTTCTTTCTATTTCATTGATTTTATGGAAATTGTGATTTTCTTTTTTACATATTAAGTATGAAAAATAATTGATTATTTTCAATAATAAGTATAATATTTAAATAGAAGTGTTGAAGCAGACAATTATAAGTATTGTGATTTTTTACCACAACTGATTACATTTTACACTTTCGAACATAAGCTACGGTGGCTCTATTGAATTTACTTGTAATTTCAGTGATACTCTGACCACTAATAAAATTAGACATATATCAATACTAAACTGTGCTGTCTTACAATATCGACCCTAGTTTGATTATTTCAATGTCTTGAAAACTTTATATTCCAACATTTATTTTAATCACTTACTAGGAAAACAATGAAATAAGTAATTCACTATAGTAAATTGTATAGGATTTTTCGTTATACTGAGATGAGAAAATATATTTTCTCATCTCAGTAAACAAAAAACCTTTAAAACATTATGATATTAATTCAATTGACATTTGATGAGGGTAATTTACAAATAACATGGTTAATGTTATGTTTATTCAATAGGAGGAAGATTCTGAAACGGTTGAGAAAATTCCGTAGCAGAAAAAAATGGCATATTAAATACTCAACATAGTTTGTGGCAAGGGAATGAAAAGTTTTTTTAATATACTACAGTTGAAAATTAAAAAATTGAAATAATTAAGGTGTGTTAAAAATTTTCATTATAATATACTGTTTACCACAAATCTTTGCATTCTCATCATGGATAAGGACGATGATGAAAAATATACTGCTACTTGCTTATCCAAACTA